GCCCGGCCGGGGCTCCCAGCCAGGAGCAGCAGCAGCGCCGGCCCTTCCCACCTGCTCCTGCCTCGGCTTCCCAGGGCTTTTTCCAGGGCAATTCTGAAGTACAGCAACAACATGGTCATCCTGGATCCTTAGCATTGCTTTGCACCTCGTTTCTGTAGTGCCCTGCCAACTGTGCTAAGTGACATGGTTGGTCATGTCACTTAGCACAGGTGAATGATGAGGAGGGGGAAAAACTTAAACCAAACCACCCCTGAAAAGCCACATCAGGTGGCACCATACAAAATCAATCAGAAACTAGTGTGGGATTCCATTAAAAGCTGGAATTTTATATAGGGGAAAAAAAAAAATCATCCCTTGTTTGTCAAATCCTTGAGTTTTTTTTCTGTGATTCTAGTTCTGGGATGCAATAAGCCTTGCTGCAAGGATAGGTGTTCCTTCTCACAAAGGCACTGACACACCTGACTGGAGAGCACAGACATGTGTTGGTGCCTTTTCTGCCCAGGGGAGGTAAAGGCCAGGACCTTTCTGTCCTCACACCTTTTGTGTGGGAGCAATCCCTGGACATGTTCAAATTTGGGAGGTGGGCTCATGAAGGAGGAGGGCAGTGCCTTCCCTTCCTTGGGGAGGAAAATACCCAAGCCCAGGGTTGGTGGGGCAGATGTCGGGCTGCCCAGGGGAGGTAAAGGCCAGTGCCACCTTTCTGCAGTGCTCCACAGTCTCTCCAGTGCTCTCAGGGTCCTCCTCAGGGCTCCCAGTGCTTCTTCCATTGCTCCCTGTCTCCTGCACTGCTCCCAGTGCCCCTTCCAGTGCTCTCAAGTGTGCCTCACTGCTGTTCAGTGCCCCCCGTTCCAGTGTTCCCCAGTCTCTCCACTTGGATCTTGGCACCTCGCTGGGCAGTGACATCCAAGCAGGCATTAGTGATCCCATGGGTGGTCATTGCTCCCCAGGCACCTCTCCCTCTTGGTTCCTTATCACCTGTGCCAGGAAATGCACTCTGGAGATCTCCTAGATGTCTGGATTCTCCTCCTGTCAGGTACTGAAGGAGGGTGGGGAGCTTGGAGGCTGGCACAGGTTCCCCAGAGGACCAGGGCTTGTGAAGGAACCTCATCTACCTGTCCCTCCTGAAGAGCAGGTAGCTGCAAACATGGTACCCACCTTGGCCTATCTGCTGCTCGGTCCCACCCTGAGCAGGAATTAAGAGGCAAACTCACCTCTTCACCTTCCTGAAGAGCCCATGTCCCCCCACGAGGCCCCACTCCCCATCCCAGGCCCTGTGGTCCCAGCATGGTCCCAGCCATTAGGCAGCTTCATCACCAGGCCTAGGCCACTCAGTGCAGGTGAGAACAGAGGTATTTATTTTGTATCCACAGGTGGACCTCAGCAGGGGAGCGACCTCTCAGCCCCATCACCAGCAGCCACTGCTGCAGACACAGCTCCAGCCCCAGCCCTTCATGCGCTGGTCCAGCACCTGGAGCTGAGGTGAGAGGGGGAGAGAGAGAGAGAGAGAGAGAGAGAGAGAGAGGCGGGCAGAAGGCAGAGTATTTCTGCAGGATTGGCTCAGGCCACCTGGGATCAGATCATATCAAGGTGTCCATGGAGATGTCTGGTGATTTCTCAGCCCATGAGAAAGTCCCTGCTGCAGCTGAGGCAAAGTCAGGTTGGGCTGAGACCTTGGGTGTACCATACAGGTATCCCCGCTCAGGAAAAGGTGGTGTGGGGTAGGACTCTGCCAGGGAAGGACATGCTCTCAGGTTTGGGAAGGGGATGGCCTGCCATCAAAATCCCTCTGTCTTCAGCCAGGACTTTTCTGTCCCACATGGGAAGCCGATGCTGGGTGTCCAGGTGTGTATCAGGGGAGTCCAGCCCAAAGGCAGCCTCCAGGTCCCGTTTCTGTCCCCCGGGGCTACCTCAGTGGAGGGACGTGGGGAATTCCATCCCTTTGGAGTTACCTGCAGAACTGCCTCTGCTGCTCCTGCCGCCGCCGCTTGTTCTCAGCCAAAAACATGAAGATGTTCCTCTGTGTCTGATGTGGCTCCAGCCCACGGAGCACCTGGATGGCTCGTGAGGAAAGGTGTCTGCAACAACAGGGAATCGTCATCCCTTGGAGAGCTGCCAGCTGCCTCTCCCCTTGCCCCACCCTGCGCCCACACAGTTCCACATCCACCCACCTGGTACCAGGCTGGAATCTCTCTGACATTTTTTCTGTGGGGAGGGGGGTTCCAGCCCTTCCCCACCTCATAGTGATCCCCTTTCTTGGGGGCTGGGATGGACGGTGGGGAGCCCAAGCACCTCCAACGCCGAATACCTGCCAAGGAGGGGACACTCTCAGCACACCAGAGGTGCCACTTCCCAGAGGACCCCTGGAAATGTGGAAGCCAGGAGACTTGTCACTCCACCATGGCTGATGGCTGCCCTTTTCCCCCAGAGCTCTCCCTTGGAGACATGTAGGCAAATCCCTGCCCTGTATCTGTGTGACCCCCAACTGCACCCCATAGATGCCCATTCCCTTGAGTCCTAAGAGTCCCCTTGAACCCCTAGGACACCTTAACACCATCTGAGAACCCTCTCTCAATTTGGGTCCCCAGGGACTCCCATCTCCTGGGGTCCTAAGAGTCTCCCCAGTCCTCAGGGACTACCCCCAAACTAGCCCAGGGTCTCCCAAAAGCCCCCTGGGACACCCTATACCCTCCAGAAACAATCCAACCTCTCCAATATACCTGTCCCAAGCCTCATCAGTCCTCTGTGTTTCCCCTGACCTCCAATTACACCCCCCGTACCCCTGTCCCAAGGGGGTTTTATGGGCAGCCTGGGTGACCTGACACAGAGGGTCTCTGATCTTACCTGTAGCATCTGTTGGTCCTCCCCAGCAGCCCAGGCTTCCCATGCCGCCCATTCCACCTTCTGTTCTCTCCAGAGGGAATTCCCATGTTCCCATTCTGCAGACAGCTGCCAGACCTCCTGGAGGTGTCAGGCATGATTAAGCTCAGATTTTGAGGGGCTTCCTTCAGGTCTCATCCATCTGGCACATACCTGCAGTGCTCTCTGGCAGTTCTCAGAAGCCAGAAGTGTGATGTCAGACCTGGCTGAAGGAGCTAACTCCTGCCCACCTGCTTCCCTCATCCTTAGAGAGCTGGCTGGGTATAGGGTGAGTACACTGCAGAAATACCAGCAGTCATCAGCATGAGTGTGGGGCAGATAGGGAACCTGTCAGGGCTGGGGACAAATTCCACAGGTGTTCAGAAGTGGGGAGCTAGAGCTGTTCCCCTGGACCTTCCTGAGTTGCTACACAGTCCAAGTGTCTGAGAGGGATTTCACCCAGGGTGTAAGGATCCCTCCAATCTGTTCCCATAAGAGTTTCACCTGGCAGGTGGCTTTGGCCCTGGCTCTTGCTTCCTTGTGCCTGACCTCTGGTATGGCAGCACAGGGAGGGAAAACTTTCCAGGATGTTCTTGTTCCCCTGGGAAAGGAGGAAGCTCTTGGGAGCAGCCTGTGAGGTTGTGTGGTCACAGGATGTGATCACCCCATGTGTGACAAAGCAGCAAGGACCCATTCCATACCTGTTCTGACCCTGTGTTTCTCTGCACCCTTTATATGTTGGGTGGAAAAAGCCTCAGACAAAGCAAGCTGAAACCTAGAATCACAGAATTGCAACATCATGAATTAGAAGGGACCCACAAGAATAAGTGAGGCAAACTCCAGAAGCAAATGATACCACAGGCTTGAGGAATGGCAGACCCCACACTCTGCAGGCAACAAAGGAACCAGAAAATCACCAAGGAAATGCACTCACCTGGGGAAAATATAGGCTTGTGCAGCCTGCACCCCCTGAGCAGTGGTGACTCCATTGTTGACACCAGAACCCGGCACACTCAGACTCTGCAGAGTGACAGGGAGCTGTCAGGAGGTTTCCATGGAGGAAACAGACCTGTCTCCTACAGGAGCCACTTCTCCAAACTCTTATTCCCAAACCTCATTTGTAAGCATCATGGAATCAAAGACCCAATAAGGTTGCAGAACAATTGGAGGCCAACATGTCCAACCACAGCCACATGTCTCTTAAATCTCTCCAGGGGTGATGAGCTCACCACTGCCCTGGGCAGCCTGTGTCAGGGGTGGGCAACCTCTTACATGAAGAAATTTTCCCTAAAATCCCACCTAAACATCTCCTGGTGCAATTTGTCTTTTGTTATCTGGAAGAACAGGCTGGCCCCAACCTGGCTTTATCCTCCTTTCATGTAGATGCAGAGCACAAGAAAGTCCCCCCCTAAGCCTCCTTTTCTTCAGGCTCAGCCCCCACAGCTGCTCCTTATGTGACTTGTGCTTCAGACCCTTTCCCAGCCTCTCTGTCCTTCTCTGGACACTCTCCAGCACCTCAATGTCCCCAGATTCAGCTCACCGTGAGCAGCAGAGCCACCCAGGTTTCCCGACTCTCCAATCCTGCAATGCAGCTGCAGTGGAACTGCATGCACAGGACATTGTCCTGGCAGGACAGGATGCCAACATTCTCAAAGGCAAAGGCGGGGTACTGCCTGTCCTTCAGCTGGAAGGAGTACAAGAGAATGGTCTCCTCCACACAGCCCCTCACCACATCAGGTGGGAGGGAATTGGTCTGGGACAGCCACCAGTAATCCAGTGGCATGATCTCGATGTCACCTGCAAAGAGGAGAGCATTCTCACTATCATGGCTGAGAAAATCTCCATGTGAGATTCATGGCAAAATTCCAGAAAGACAGCTTTGGTCTGGGGGCAATTCAAGCTACACTCCAACTTCGGAGGTGATTCCCTCTCCCCCAAAGAGCAGAGGGCACACAGTCCCTGCAAATGTGGAGCTGGATCTCTTCTCACCAGGCATCATCACTGTTGGGAACACCAGCTCCCGTAGACAAGACATGTCCATGTCCAGCTGGAACACAGGTCTTCGAACCACATACACCTCTTCTGTGCCATTGATTTCCTCATGGACCACAGCAAAGGTCCCAAGACCTGGGACAAGAACACCCTGCCCAGGAAGAAGACAAAACTGTTGAAACAGCTGTCATATCCCAGACCCTTGTATCCAGGGGTTAAAGTCAAGTTTCCTTTACTCTGGCTGGTGCAAAGGAGAAATCCCCACCAGCTATTCTCAAGAGGTAAAAAAAAACACGCAAAAAGCAAAAATATAGAAAGTTAAGGAAACTTTGGAAAAGGATGATACACTAACAAATTCAACACAAGATCACTTATCATCCCATTACTTAGCATTAACCCAAAAGTTTCCATGAAAAGAGGATTAGAAGGAGAGACAGAGGCAGAAAAAATACAGCAAAACACACATACAGCTCCTGGGTTCCCCACCAGAGTCCTAAATGAGGCAGGGTCCATATACTGGCTACATTATGGTCAGCCTGTTTTAAGCCCTTGGGCCTTTGTGGGCCTGTGCCCCAGGTGAGACTGCTGGTTGCTCGTCAACCAGAGGGCAGGTTAACACTGCTCCCAGGTGCTATGATTGACAACCCTGCTGGGGAGCTGGGGGTAGGACATAGCACTGCTTCACCTACGTAAATCCTGGCCTGCCCCTCCCACCAGACACTGGCATTACAAGTGCAAGATGTCTCAAGACATTCTACTCCTGTCTCTTACAAAAGGAAATGAGAAAACTGTGGGAAAAATCCATGTTCTCAATGGTTTTTACTTTCCCTCTTCAAAATATTCACAAAAATTCCTTGACTAAAGAAGAACCCAAGAAATTCCAACCCAGGGAGAGATTCCCAGAGATGATCCTTGGCATGGACCCAGCAGGATCTTGTATCGCTCTGCTAGGTCTCTCCACCCCTGGCAGATCAAGGAACACTAGGATGATTTCTCTCAGGATGGTGCCATGATGCTCGGGGAGGGGGACCACAGGGGTCCAAGATACCAGCCAACCTTGTCCAGCTTCATCTGTCCTAGGATGTAGGCAGACACGACATCCCAGATGGCCACCACCTCTGGAAAGTACCAGAAAGAGGCATCAGGTTGCACTCGTGGCATTTTGGGGAGCTCTATAGAGTGATAAATGGGGCTGAGAAAGAGCCTGGACTGGTCTGTGCCCCTGGTTCTGCCTCCTTCTACTCCCCAAGCAGGGCTGGCGCAGAACTGGGGGTGTGGAAAGAGCTCAGAACTAGGGCTGTGGTCATCCAACCCCCCAAAAAAGATGGCAACCCAAAATCCAGCTGGCTCCTGAGAGCCCAGTAGGAGCTGTCAGACCACTCATAAGAGCTGGAACCTTGAGAGGTCACAGCTCCCACACCTTGGAAGCTAGCCCTGGTAGGGGCACGTGCTGTGCCCATGGGACCCTCACAGCAGCCCCAGCCCTGTCCAACCCTCCTTCTGGCTCCTGGGGGGTTCCCAAAACCGTCACCTTTGGTGGAGAGCCGCAGTAGTGTGGGGAACAAGCAACTCTGCTTCTTGCTGATGCTGATCGTGCAGCACTCCTCCATCTTGCTCCCCAAATTCCTCTCCAATCAGCCCCTGCCCTGCCTGTCCCTGAGGGCTCTCCCATAAAAGCCCTCACACCCACCAGAACAACCCCCCAACCCTGACTGAGGTTACAGGCAGTGCCCAGTAACCCCTAGTTGTCACCACAGAGTGTCCCAGTGATGGGGGAGTGCCACTTTGTGATGTCACTGGCAGCCTAGGGAGGTGCATTGTAAAGTCAGCAGATAGATTGTACCTTGGAGATGGTGAAGGGCAGTTATGGAAGGAAGAGCTTATCTTGGCCCACCTCAGGTGTCGCCAGTTGTCAAGAGGTGTAACGGCTGCTGAGCTGGGCTCAGAGTGTTCCTAGAGAAATTCATAGAAAGAACCAAAACACACATACAAAAATAAAAATCCATCAATAATAACAAAAAATGATGAAGAATGTGTTTTCTAGGCTTTTCTTGTGCTATGAAATATTATGAGGAGTTTTAATTCTGGCTTCCACATTTCCAGGGGTCCTCTGGTGCTGAGAGTGTCCCCTCCTTGGCAGGTATTCAGCGTTGGAGGTGCTTGGGCTCCCCACCGTCCAACCCAGCCCCCAAGAAAGGGGGTCACACACAGTATGGAACCTCATGGAACCAAGGAGCCACTGTGGCACAGCAAGGCCTTGTGGAACCAAAGAGACCATGGTGACACTACGGAACCTCACAGAACTACGGGTCCATTGTTACACAGCAAGGCCACAGAACCAAGATCATTGTGACACTACAGAATAGGTAACCACAGAAGAGCTGGAAAAGTACAGACATGCATATATCAAGGTCTTTAAGATTATGTAGATTTGTAAGGCTGCCAAGTAACACGAACAATAGGCTGATTCTGTAACTGGTGAGAAAATTTTGCTTGGGGCTGTCACTGCTTGTGGCTGCAACAGTATATGAGCTAAACTTTGAAAACAATAAATTACTTCAATGACTTCAGTGAATTCAGTAAATGACTTCAACCCCTTTTTTGCTTGGACTTCAATGACTTCAACTTGGACTTCAGCTTCTTTTTGCTAGTGCTTTTATTTATTTATGCTGAAGTTTCTTGCTTAGGCTACTTTTTTCACCCCTCCTTTGATGTCTCATCTCTCAGTGGAGCAGTAGGAGGTGACAGAATCCCCCCGGGAGAGGCAGGTCCCCATCCCGGCCCCTGGGCACCCTGGGACCTGCGAGGCTTGGGAACACCGTGGTGAGGGGTGGGCACAGGGCTGGGCACAGGGGGTCCTGGGGTGTCCCCGAGGGGGACCACAGCCATCTCTGCCCTTGGTGGCACTGAGTTGGCTGTGAGCTAGAGGTGGCCAGGAGTGCTCCAGGGCTGTCCCTGCTGTGCTGCAGCCCCCAGGCCTTGGGCAGTTCCCTGCTGAGTGTCTGCATCCAGGTGAGACCCCCACAGCACCCCCGGGGCTTTGGGGGGCCGGGACAATGCAGGGCCCCATCCCTGTGAGGGAAACACAGCCCTGGCAGCTGCGGGGACAGTGACACAGGGACAGGCACAGCCCTGGGGCTGCCACGGGCACCCGTGGGGCAGGAGGGGTTTGGGGGCTCCCGGGGAGTCCCTACTCTGCTGAGCCCAGTGGTGGCTCCACAGCCGCGCTCCGGCCAGGATTCCAAGCGCTGCCAGCTCCGCCGGGACGAGGACGGACACTTGTGGCTGTCGGGGGTCGCGTGGAGGTTCTTCAGCCTGCAGGAGCTGCCGAGCATCTCTGGGCACTGGGGGCTGCAGGCACAGGGGCCCAAATGCACCTGGAGGCCACCTGTGCCCCCTGCCCCAAAGGTGACAGTGGGGGATGTCCGCTTGTCTGTTCCTGTTTGTGGCATTAGATGAGGTTTCAAGCTGATCAGCTCAAGAAGCCAAGGAGGATCTACACTTCCCTGTCATATTTTCCTAATGACACAGGATTTAAGACCAAGAATTTGGCTAGATGGAGGGGTCAAACAGAGGAGGATGGATGAGGGTTTACATCCTAAGACTTCATTTGCTGGAGTACAAACAGTTTTGCTGTGCACCTCTTGGGCAGTACCTCCCTTCCAGAGATGCCAGGTGGATTTTACTGGAATGCCCCAAGTGGCAAGATTTAAATATCTTCTGGTAATAGTATATCGGTTAACAGGGTGGCCAGAAGCATTTCTAGGCATTTCAGCAACTACAAGACTACAAGTCTAAAACAAACTACAAAACTACTAGTATTAAAGTATTTTTGGAACAAAGAATTCCAAGAGATGAGATTGTGGAAGCAATAGACTCAAGAAAACTCATTTTACAAGAAAAATTCTTAAAGGAGTTATGACTGCTTTAAGGATCCAGTGGAACCTCCATACCCCCTGGCACCCCCAGTGTTCTGGTCAAATTGAAAAGATGAGTGGGGAAATAAAGTAACACCTTCTGAAGCTGGTGATAGGAACTAAGATACTGGCTCTTGCCAGTGGCTTGGGCAACAATAACGGCCAGACCCAGGGGGAATACCCAGTTATCTCCCTTTGAACTGATGTTTAGAATTCCTTATCCTTGTAATCCTCAGCCTTGAGAATTACCTGGGGGGTATGGATAAAGGATATCTATTGGAAACAATACGTAGCCCAGATACTATCTCTTGTAAAATCTCTTTGACAAGAAGCTCAGCTAGCACAGACCTTGCCTTTAGACTTTGCTGTTCACAACATCCAGCCAGGAGGCTGAGTCCTAGTCAAGGAGTAGAAAGAAGCACCACTAGCAGCAAAGAAGCGTAGACCTGTGCAAGTGCTGCTGACCACAGAAACAGCTGTCAAGGGAGCTGAACATGGGTAGGCACATCACACTCGAGTCAAGGTCTCTAAGGCCCCAGAAATGCAGACATCTCAGCTAGAGGAGAAGCACGGCAGGCTGCCCAGACTAATGCTCCACAAGAGTGGACTGGAGCAGTAGCCAGAACGTCAGCATCAGGGGAAGCCCCGTGTGCCTCCCACCCACTGGCTGCTGAAATAGTTTGTGTGGGCATCCCTTCTCTCAAATCTCCAGCCATTAGAGGCCAATCCTCACTCTCATTGTTTTCTTTATGTTAAGCTCTTTCTGTGCCTTCACTTGCCACAGGTAGTGCAAAGACAACATGAAAGTAAAAATTAAGTTAGGAAATTAAATTCCACCATTAAAATGCTTTCCTTAATAATCCTACCTTTATATTGTCAGCCAGTTGAAGTTGAAGCCAAATGTAGAAAAGTAATTTTTAACCGTAAGAGAAGAAGTAGCAAATCCTTTAACCTTAAAAATTGTTAAGTCTGTGGAAGGCCAGGAAGATCTGAAAACTGGCCGTGAGTGGCCAGCCCAGTCAAACCTAAACTAAAAAGTGAGTTAGGTCCATAATAAACAAGATTTTGAGATGAAGAAGGAAATCCATGGTGGCTTCATTCTTCTGAAAAAAAGCATTTATTGTCTAAATAGAACAAGAAGCATATAAGTGGGAGAAAGCATTTGTGACGAGACTTTAGGTTTAGATTGTTAGACCCCCAACTGCCCTCCTTATAATTATCAAATGCATGCTAAGTTCACTACTAGCAGCTAAGCAAGGTGTTCCTTCCATAATTACCAAAAAGATTTTGAAGGCTATAAAGCAGTGGGGAAAGAGAAGATTTTTTGCACCACTTATTTTTAAGGGAATCTGGGATTCAGGGAGATAGTTGGGAGGATCTGGGGGTTGTGGCATAAAGAAAGTTTATTAACAAAGCTACAAGAATAAGAAACCAGAATAAAACCTCCAGAAACCCCTTCCCCCACCACTCAACCATTCCCTTATTTAACTGACAACATAGAGGGAAAAAAAAAACTTGGTGGCTAAAACAGTCACAACTTTGCTATAGTCTTTTCATCAGTCTCTGTAGAGAAAAGGAAGTTCTCTTTGTCAATCTATGGAGTTTTTCACAAGGAAACCATTTTCTCATGGCTTTCTATTTCTCTGAAGCCAGCCGCCCGGAAAACTCGGTCATCAGTCCTTTCTTCCCATTTCACACCACTCTGAGGTGTGTTCATGGGCCATGATGCAAGGGGTGTCATTTTAAGGATGAGTTATTCAAAGACAAAAGTTCTCTTCATCTGTCTCTGTGATCATCTCTGGAAACTGAAGTTTTCTCTTTGTCTCTTAAGGGCCACAAATCTTCAACAACTCGCACTTCTTTTTTGTTCCAGCATCTGATAAGATCACAACTACTTCACCATTTGCTTAGATCCACACTTTGAAATACTCCATTCCCCTCAAAATATTCTGTCATGAATTAAAGGAGGTTTTTCAGAACACTATTGTCCATCTCCATAGCTTTAACAGAAGAATATTTCAGCTTATTAAGGCATCTCCTTATTTCTCTCCCCCATCTGAAGCTTAATTCCTTTCTTTACTGTCTTTGATAGTTTATGTTGTCTCTTTACCTGTTGATGACTCTCTCTTGCCCTCTTCCTGGAAAAAGAATTAAATCTGCAAGTCTCATCTGGGTAATAAAAGGATTAAAATCTGGCTCAAGCCACAGGTGTTCATGGTGCCAGGTTTCAGCTCAGCAGCGCTCAGAGCCGGGCTCCCCCTGCCCCCTCTCAGGAAAAAACTTCAGCCACCCCAGAGGCTTCCTGGGAAGCTGCAGCAGAGGCCAGCCCGGGCCTGGGGCCGGGGGAAGTCCCACAGGCCCCATCTCCTGCCCGGGGACCCTGGCAGACGCGGCCCAGTCCCCACCCGGGCTGCATGGCCTGGGGAGGGGATGAGAGCCAGCTGGAGTTCTGCTACTTTTCAAAGCTGGAAACCAAAGAGAGAAAAAAACTTCCTGGGCTTAGGGTTAAAA